TTGCTGTTTGGTTTATACTTGCATGTGGATATGTATACGTTTACAAAATAACAATAGTTAAATTTTTGACAAGTAAAAATTTTTGACATCGCAACTGAACATTTCCGAGAAAGGTAAGGGAACTACGAGGCTTGTGTTGTATTGTGTGGTTTTATCTTTCAACGGCCTCGTTTGTTCATCTTGACTCCAACAGCGTAGTTGATCCTACGTCAAATGGACGTTGGATTTTCTTAACTGGACAAGTGTCTAGATCATCTTCATCATCGCGTCTATCGTCTAAATTTTTTTTTTATATTTTATCATTGGATTTATCGTGAACTTTCCGAGTTATTAAGAATTGACAAAATTCAATATGAAAGTAAAAATATTTACAATTGTGTATGCTTTAGAAGTAAGTTCATGAAAAAATTAGAAACGGTCTATCTAAAGTAAGTTCAGGAAAAAATCAGCTGTCAAACTTTGTGACATCCTGGATCTTTGAAAACAATTTTTTTGACATTTGTGCTTTGATAATTTTGTAAAGAAAAAATTCAGAATATAATCCAAGCAATAAAATAATTTTATAAGAAGTGTACTATCTTATATTGAGCTGTAAGTTATTTAAATTCAATAAAATCAAAATAAACAAACAGAATAAAAGAATTACAAAATTTTGAAAAAAATTTAAAGAATTTTCAAAAGTAGGCCTTCATGCCCCAATTTCTCTTTTTCGTAAATAAACATAAAAATTAAGTTGCCAACAATGAAAGTGTATACGTCTATTTGAATTACGTCTAAGTTTATAAAATAGTAAATTAAAAAAAAAAAAGAAGAAAACTAATTTATTACATTTTCCATGTATGGGACAGTTGTTCACAGTTAGTCTTTTTTTTTTTTTACTATAAACCGAACAAAGTCGAGTAATTTAAGTGCCTGAGGCAAATTTGAAACTTATATAAAACCATCTAAGACAACTTGGGCCTCCCGCATGGTAAACGACCCATAGCAAATGGAGATCATGGAAAAGCTCGTAAAAAATCTCACCTTTATTTATTTCAGTTTCAAGTTTGTTTACGAGCGTTATTATTTTTGGGAAAATAGAAAAAAAAATTTACAACCAGATTTATTACGCGCACTCAGGTTCATCGACACGGTGATTCTTGGTAGAGAAACAAAAATAATAATAGATATAGCAGAGATGTAAATATAAATTTGTAATCTATTACTTTCACGGTTTTTATACTCTACATACAGTAGTCGATATTACAAAAGTCAATAGAATAGTTTTTTTCTGAAAAGTATGAAAAATCATCAGAAGCTAAATCCATTTATAGGTCTGCTCTATATAAGGTCAGCAGATTGACATCGGTCCGATCAAAGTTAGCCCCCTGTAGAGACCAACAAGATGCCGACGGTTAGGTATATAGAAGTCAATTTTGTAAAATAGATGGCAGTCGTTACAGTTCAAGTTCACCGACAGACATGTACGCTCTTCAAAGAACTTTATGCCCCTATGTGGGGCCCATGTGTTTGAAAAATTAGTAATGATCTCTTTGCTCAACATAAGGGCTCGCCGAAAGATACATGAATCAATCTCGAGAAAAAATATTTTTTTTGTCAACCTTATTTCTTACAAAGTCAAACTTATTTTACTATTTAGTATTGTATTGATGCATATATATCTTCATCTTTGGTATTTATTTTATTAATATGTATCAGCTAAAATAAATAAAAAATTTCCTGGCCTGTTACTGAGGGCTAATGATAAAAATATTTATTTATTTTTGGTATTAAGCCAATAGTAGTTTATGGGTGGAAAAGCTTCACAAAAAGAAGAAATTTCTTGTTACAGAACTAATCTTCTTAGTCATAGAAAATATTTTAAGAAACGAAAATTCTGATGTTATATTGAGCCATTATATCAAGAAAATTTCTTCTTACTTTTTACTAAAAAACAATATAGATCTTCCGAAAGATTTTTTTAAATTTAAGTAAACTTTTTTTGTGTGTAAATTTAAAACATATTCAATGTTAATAATGGTAGAATAAATATTAATATATCGAATAAAAATTATTAATGATTAAAATTACCAAAAAGACGACGAAAAATATAATTTGTTTATAAAAAATAAAAAAATAAAAATTTGTAAATATGAGAATAATTAATCATTGAAAGTGTACAAAACTTCTTATTCACGTTGACTTAAACTTAAAGATACGAGATAAAGAGTAAAATTTTACTCCTCAAGAAAGCTAAAATAATCATTGGAAAATTGGATTTTCTCAAATTGTTCTTAATCTTAACTATCTTAATCCAATCTCTTTAAAAGTCAATGTCTTGGGGTCTAAAGGGCTGGTAATAAATCAAATTTTTCTACGTACATACTATGACCTCATGCTAGGAGCAGTGAATACAAAACCCAACTTTACCCTTTCGTCAAAGTACTTAGCTACCTGAATAGAAATTTGAATCACTGCAATATAAATTTTCTTTGGCTACAATGTTCTTTTGCGGTAAAAGATTAACAACAAAAAATTAATAGTATTTTCTGAGAGTATAGGAACATTATTAGCTTTTACACGGATGTTTCAGATAAATCAGTTTCTGATTTATCACCCGCAATCATTATTACAAAGACAATTTTCCAGTATATTCCAGTGATAATCTAAAATTTTGTCTCAATAAAATCCTAGTTTATTTATATTCGTTGAAAAAAAATAAAAGTTTTATTTTTTACCTAATTATTGATATCGAGATGGCAATTATGATAATAACCAACAGTCTTAGCATTGATTTAATATTCTAATTCTATGTATGCAGTCCACTGAAGCTTCACTGCAATTCTAATTGTATATACTATACGGCTTTACTGTAATCAATGACAATAGAAAATTACTCTGGCTTTGAAATTTTATTTTTAATGTGCTCTGATAGTTCTTTAAATTTTAACTCAATGAATGATTTCTTCCAATTCGAGAGGCATAATTCCAACTGAAGTAAAATATTAAAATATTTATAAAATTTCAATATAATTCCTGTTTCAATTAAAATTTTTAATTTTTAAACTCAATTTCAACCGTCTACCTTCCATTTGATTTTTTTAATTGCATTCAGAAAGTGAACAGAAATTTAAAATATTTAGATTGTAAATAACAAAAATATATATAATAAAAATTTCAAAAAAAAATAATTATTTACATTAACAGAATTAATTTTATGAAGAAAAAATAAATCTTAAATACTTATTATTTGAATCCTAGAGATCAAATAATTTATATAAAGAACTTTAACACATCAACAAACGTTATTATGAATAGATAAAATGAAAACCAACAGTTAATAAATTTTATCAATCGGAAAAGATAAATTCTGACTTACCGACAGCGCTCCATGATACTGCTGACAAACTTGTAGTTGAATTTTGAATTTGGCGGGATTTCGGATCTACAAAATGGCCAACTCCCAAGTGCCTGAGCCTTTTTTTCATGTCAGTACAACACAAAGCACAAAAAACACTAACTCACTCTCAATCACACAATTTTCACTTTTATTAATTTGATTTCTAAAATCAAAACATCATAAATAATTAAATTACTTAGACAAAGCTGAAAAAAATTAAACAAGCTAGCTATGTGTATGTATATAGATATACATCAGGTTTAAACTTGTTCTAAATGTTATTTTACTTCATATATATTCACTTCAATTAAATTTTTATATTAATTCATCTCTTGTTACAATTACTCGGTACCTTAATTACTCATTTTAGTTATTATGTAGAAATTAAATACTAAAAAATAGACATTTCCGCGGAACTGTATCGCTGGCGCCGGTGGACAGTACAGGAATGAAGTTGTCTAGTTCTAACTGACGTTGCTTCCGATTGCCCCCACCACCGAATTTTTGAATCTTAATTCTGATTCGCCAATTTTAAAAAATTCGTTATTTATAAATAAAATTAAGAATTATTCATGTGAAAAAATTATATTTTATATTTTTAATTAAATTTTAATAAAACTTTGCAATTTGTTTATTCACAAAATTGTTTAAAAAAAATTAATTAATTAATATTGTAAAAAAGTTTTTAATTATTTTAACTTGAAATAAACTAAGTAATTATTACTACATTGAAGTTTTCAACTATTAAAAATTTTTTTAGAATTAAATTATTTTAATAAAAAATTCTCTAGTATTGTAAAAATGTGAAAATTAAAAAAAATACTATTGGAAATTTTTAAAAGCATTTTTTTTATTGTAATTGACTTTATATAAAAATCAAAAAAATTGACAGTTGTCAGCTAACTTCAGTATTCATTAATTATTTAATTATTTCAATATATATTTTTATAAATAAATTTTATAATTTTTAAAAATAATTACAACCAGTTGCTGATAAAATAAATGCCTATAAAAATTTACCACTTAAGATAATAAAAATCTATTTTTAATTGAATTAAATATAATATATAGTATTAAGTAAAGATAGCGTACTTTGTATTGCTGTATTGTTTTTAACCTGTCTTGACAACACAACTACAATCAATAATGAATTTTTAACATAACTAAAAATTATAAAAAACAAACAAACAATTAACGATAGAGCTGTTTTGTTGACAGCTTAATAAAATAGGTTATGATAGTAATAACATTGTTGACAATGAAGCTTGATGTACCACCTGAAGTACTAAAGATTAACGAAATAATTTTGCATAAAATTTTCAGAGTACATTTGAGCTTGGTTACCGTCTTGAGCACCGGAGGAAAGGAAAGGTAAGGTGGGAGGAAATAACACGCTTAATACTTTCTCCGGCTGTGCGGCTGGACCTCCAGATCTAAATAACGGCTGTGCTGGTATGGTGGATACCCAACTCGCAGCACACTAGACACCAGTCTAACAGCACTTTTTTCTGTCTGTGTGGATCACATGTCAGTGTACTTTACAATAATTTATTTTATTATTTTATCAACTCGACTCAACATAACTGCTCACCAATGAGCGAATAAACAATCGCCAGTTTCAATGAATTTAGTGAGTTATTTATTTATTGCCGGGACATTTATTGTCCTGGCGAGGTGTGATGATTCAAGACCTTGGTATGAAACTCTTCCTGCTGTTGCGATGGACTACAAAGTGCACATCGATGCCGGGAAAGAGGATTGCTACTTCCAGTATGTAAATCCCGGAGCAACTTTCTTCGTCAGTTTTCAGGTTAATTTTATTTATTATTATTTTAATATTAGTTAATATATTTATCGTATTTTTTTTTTAACAATAGTTTGACGTATTTGCTATTCCCTTTGCCACGTCATGAGTTTAAATACCCCACCATATGTTTATTTTTAAGCGGCGAACGTCGAACCAAAAAATATCTGCCGGATGCACAGATAAAATTTTATTGTATTGTTATATTCTTTTTTTTTTTTTAATATTGTTTTAATATTATTTTATTTTTCATAAGTGGTTAATTAGATTTTAATTTATTATTGATAAAAATGATAATTAACATATTTTTATCTAGGTGCTGAGAGGCGGTGATGGAAAGGCTGGATTTGCAGTAAGAAATCAAGCAGGTGAAATAGTACTTCCTTATCAATGGCGGGCTAGTGCTGATTATCAAGACCAATCAGGGACTGGTGGTTACTACAGTGTGTGTGTTGATAATCAATTTTCACGTTTTGCTGGCAAATTAGTCAATTTATATATCACTGTTATCAGGTAAAAATATTTTTTGTACCTAATCAATTTAAATTTTATTCTTATCTTATCTTTGTACTTTTATAATTGTTATTCAATTTTTAGGTATGATCAGTGGGATAAATTTACTAAAGAATTAGAAGAATTAAATCTCTCAGTTGAGAATTTTACGGTAATTTTTTTTTTTTTTTTTAAATAATTTATCATAAGTAGAATTATATCGACTTTATAATCTAGTTTAATATATCGCAATCTTATTATATGGATTTGAAGTTATAAATAATTAATCTGACAAAACAATAGCTCGTTATTGATTTGAAAATTATTTTGTAATTTATAGTTTTAATTTTTAATTTAAAAACTTCTATTGACAATGAAAAAATAATTTTAAAAAACTAAATTATAAAATCATTTAAAAAAAAATTATATTTAAATAATATTTATTTTTTTTAATTACAGAGTACGATTGTTAATGTTGAAAAAAATATTAATGAGATGTTACACACACAAGCTATAAGTAGAAGTCGAGAAGCACGTGATTTAAATTTAATAACAGAAAACAATTCGTATGTTCAAAACTGGTCTGTTGCACAAGTTATCGTTATTATTGCAACGACGATATTACAAGTATATTTTGTAAAAAAATTATTCCAAGAACGACCAACTGGTTCATCAAAAATTCGCATTTAATTTTTATATTACTAGACTTACTATTGTTTTTGTATGTACGACTGTCTTACTCTAATCACGATCACTTATTTTCATCTCAACAAATTATATACTCATTTGATTATTAATTTTATACATAGACAAAATGACTGAATGTTTATAACATATTTATACATTCTAAGTAATTATATTTTTCCTTACTTACAATACTATATTTTTAAAAAATTCATATATATATTTATAAATTACATATAAAATATATATATGTATTTTTTTTATGCAAACCATTAAAATCTAATCTATTTAAATTCTTTCACTGTACATGGAAACTATTTTTATATACAATGTATTTTTCTCTATATAATTATTTTATTAAAATAAAAACAAAAGTAATTCAACACTTAAAATATCAAATAACATTAATATATTTCAAAAAATTTTCAATAAAATTCAAAAATAGATGTTACAATTTAATATATCATATATACAAAACAAATTTTTTAAAAATATTTTTCACCATTTTAATGGAGTAACAAAAATTGACATAAAAAAAAATTTCAGTTAGTACTCTAAATAATTTATACAATTGATTTTAATATTTAGAATAAAACAACAAAAAATATTATATCACATTATCGATTGATACAAACCGATTGTTTAGCGTACTGCTGTAAAAGGCTCTCGCTGAGCGCAAGAAGTCGATGTCTCTGTCTCAGATTTTTAGCACGTACATGCTCAGAAGCAACTTCTTTAGTATAATTACCAGGAAACCAGCCTTGTTCACCACCTACTAGTTTTTCTCCAAGGTTCCACCCATCAGCCATCTTTTTGAGAACGTTTATCATGTCACCTATTTTATAAGAAAAAACATATCAACGATTTTTATCTCAGTTATCAATGATCATCGTTTTAGATTAAATAATTTCACTTAAAATATATTAAAAAAAAAAAAGTAATCACCTGGTTGAAGTGATAATTCATCGGGTTGTACTGGAGTGTAAGAATACAAAGCCATAACTTGTGGACAATCCCATGTTTCATACAAAGTTTCACCAACTAAATTTGGTTTTGGCGGTGACACTGCATCAAGCCACCTCTCTCTTTCAGTAGCATTTTGACAAGACAAAATATATTCGACATGCCGACTGCAGTAATTGTCGAGTAATGTTAAAATCATCGCATGTCGTCCAGCGAAAGGCGAATCATCAGGAACTTTTTCTAGAGCAATAAGGCTTCTTTTACACGAATCAATCACTGAATATACTTCATCTTGATTACTGAAATAAAATATTTAAATCAATAAAAAAATAAAGTTACCATAAGATTAAAAATGTGAAAAATAATAATAATAATAATAATAACTAGCAAACTTGCAGTCACTATGTGACTGCCGTGACTTGTGAACTATAAATAAATAAAATTTTGCTTTATTAAATAATGAATTTTGTTAAATTGCACTGTACTTTCGCAAATATTGACGTTTTTAAAGATATAAGCTCATCCCGATGTTATACTCGTCAAGAGCTTTCATTTGAGTACCCACATGCATTTTGATATATTTTTCATATATACATATATATAAATATATGAAAAATTGATGTGGGTACTCAAATGAAAGGTCTTGATGAGTGTAACATCGGGATGAGCTTATATCTTTAAAAACGTCAATAGTTCACGAGATACAAGGTCATTTCATCATTATTGACATTTTTTAAGATATAAACTCATTTTGATGTTACACTTATCGAGACCTTTCATTTGAATACCCACATGCATTTTGATATATTTTTCATATATACATATATATCATATATATAAATATATGAAAAATTGATGTGGGTACTCAAATGAAAGGTCTCGATGAGTGTAATGTCAGGGTGAGCTTATATCTTTAAAAATGTCAATAATTCATAAGATACAAGGTCATTACTCATTTGTGTATCTAAAGATAGAGCATTTTCGAATGTTGCCTAAATACATCATAATAAATTTACTATCGGTAAGAATGATATGAAACCTTGAAAAGGCAAAAATTCTAGTCAAGACCTTTGCAATGAGATTAAATTTCACTAAAAAAAACGATTTTATCGTATGACTATCCTGGAGACAAAATTTTTTTTATTCTCTTAATAATGTATAGAATAATAATAATAATAATAACTCACTTTGACTTTAATTTAGCAATAAGTAAATGATCTGTTAACAGCAAAAGATAAAGCGGTGTCTTGTGAAATTTTTTTCTAAATGTCAGTACATACTCAGTACCAGGCTTAGCGAGTATCTGTGTAACAGGGCCGCTTCGTACCAGATACCTATCACGCAAATCAATAGACGGTACCTTAGTCGTGTACTCAATTTTTTTAGCCAGTGAAGCCATTTCAATTTGTCTTCCGGCGAGTCTTGCACCTTCATTACACTCGGTAACGACTCGCCCGAGTACAGACAGAACTTTTTCCCAATCGAGCCGTTCTTCATGCTCCGTCGACAGTTTCGACAGCACCGCATCGGCGAGTAATGGCAGTCTTGTGACTCGTTGCATCGGTAACATCAGGAATGAGTGAAGCGACAGACTCTGACAAGCTGGATGGGACTCTATTCGATTAACGGTTTCTACAAATTTTGATGATTTCTTAGAACGAAGTTCTTTCAACGTCAAGTCAATGCTAACTTGATTTGAGCAATAGTCCGTGTATATTTTGGAGCAACGTTCTGCGTGTTTAAGTAACACTTCCGGAAGACCTTTTAACATCGGATCAGCACGCCACACACTCTCTAATTCCGCTAAAAGTCTTTCCGATGCTATCAAAACACTCGGTACACTGCCAAACAATTTTTCACGGTCTGTTGCTGACAGTGCTTCGTAGACCAGCTCATGGTTTATCAGAAACTCATTAACTAATACTCGCAAAGAATTTAAATATGATGCTTCAGAAGTTATTATTTCAAATTTGGCTTCTTGTAATTTTTTTTCATCACTCGTTAGTTGCTCTGAAATTTTAATGATTGAGATATTTTTTATTTTTTATACTTAACTTTAATAACTTAAAATAAAAATAAACATTTTAATTTATAGTAACTAGCAACCTTGCAGTCACTATGTGACTGCCGTGACTTGTGAATTATAAATAAATAAAATTTTGCTTTATTAATTAATGACTTTTATTAAATTGCACTGTACTTTTTTAACTATTGACATTTTTGAAGATATAAGCTCATCCCGATTATACACTCATTAAGAGCTTTCATTTGAGTACCCACATGCATTTTGATATATTTTTCATATATACATATATATTTGTTAATATATATAAATATATAAAAAAATGATGTGGGTACTTAAATGAAAGGTCTTGACTCAAATGAAAGCTCTTAATGAGTTATAATCGGGGATGAGCTTATATCTTCAAAAATGTCAATAGTTCACGAGATACAAGGTCATTTCTTAATAATGTATCTAGTGATAGAGCATTTTTGAATGCAGCCTAAATACTTATCATCATAAATTGACTATTGGTAAGAATGATATGACACAAAATTTTGCTTATTCTCTTAATAACTTAGATTATTGTAACTCTAACTTATAAGTAAAAAATAAAATTTTTTTTTTATTTAAAATTTTTATGTAAATAAAATAATAATCTCACCTAGTAAACCACTTTTAATAACTTGAGGCGTTTGACACCAAAGAGTCCTACAACCAGGTTTACCCAGTTCGGAAGCTGACGGCAATGAATCTTCGGTATCACCATAACTGTCTGAATCTGATTGAAAAGCACCACGGAATGTCGAGGCCGCATAAAATTGATACAGCGGTTCTTCCGATAATATATTGTAGTCATCAACTAAACAAAACAAAATTAATTATAAATTATTATCATATTATTATATTATCAATTACGATTACAATGATGTATACTATGAAAAACTATATAAATAATTAAGCATTTAAAAGTGAAAATAGTGTTATGTAAAAAATATTAATTTAGGGTAATTAATTAATTTTACATTTAAAATATTTAATGTGTTTAAGTATTTGGTCCTAGCGTGTTAGGCTAATAGACCGGGAACTTCCGAGTTTTAATTTATTGAGAATGATAGGTTTGTTTGAATAAATTGATGTAGTTGAATAATTTTAATACATATATTGTTTAAATCCAAAATTAATATCATTAGTTAATTTACAATAGTTACAATTATTATACAGTGATTAAAGTTAACTTTTCTTTCATATAACGATTTTACAATATTACCAAATTCACAAATATTAATAATTTAAAATATACCTGATAAAAAATTGATGAACCTTGTTGATTTAATTTATATTAGTTGGTTTCACTTTACGATTTTACTTTACCTTTACAAATGTTTTACTTTTTATACAATAGATTTACACGTGGTCTATTGAGACTTATTTAAACTATGTACGATGTTAACACTAGGACGTCAGGACAACGAGAGAGATTTTTTGGTGACAATTGCGAGGTGTCGAATTTGGGGGCGTAACTAATTTCCACTCACTGGGGGAAACAAATGTCCAATTATTTGTCTATTTTCTCGGGCCCTTACCCTCTCTCTCTTAAATTTGTCTAAAAATGTTGTATGAGTCCCTCTACTTGGGTCTGAGTGCAACATACTTTCTCACTTACTCTTATGTTCTATTATTCATCTATGTGTTTGTGTATACGTAAGCGCATTTACGCATAGACAAAGACATACATCTGTACTGTCTACATTAATTTATTTATTAAAATCGTATAAATAAATATGTACTCGAATCTAACATTTCTTACGTTTCCTTGAATTTAATTATTTATTTGTAGAAATGTTTCTGTTTTGTCGTTTTATAATTTTATTGTATTATTTTAGAATTTAATTGTTTAATATTTGTTTATTTTTAATTATTTAACTTTCAAGTTCTATTTTTTTATTTCTTTTTCATTTCATATTTAATTTTGTTGTCTAAAAATTATTTCGGAAAGTGCAATATTAAAATTTATTTCAATATTTTTCTCAACACTAAAATTCTGTCATTAAGTTATTCTAAAATCTTTCGGTTTAAAATAAATCTCTTATCTTGTTCTTTATCATTATTTAAGTATTTCTTATTTTAAGTATAAGTGAGTTTGCTTACGTATAACAAAACTCCCATTTATCTATTTAATCTCTTTAAAATACCTGGGCCCTCAGACTAATTACGGGAATTTCCCTGGGCCTTTTGCAAAGATCGAACGAGACACTTAATGACCACACTCGAATTATCTTTTACAATCGTTAAAATTTAAATAAAATTATACTCGATAATTTTTCTTTAATAAATATATAAAGAAAAATTTCTTTACATAACAATAGTTTATCATTACTTTCTCTGTCGCATAAATTCATATACGGCCAAAGTTAATTATTAATAAGTAATAACAATTTTATTAATAAGTTTACCCATATATAAATTTATCAGATAAAAATTAGAAAGGAATATTTTTATTTATTTTAATGATAAAAACTAAATCAGAGTAACATTTAATTAAAACTCTCACCTGCATTTCCATCACGTTTTGAGTAATTAGCATTAATCCAATAGCTGTTTTCATAAATATCATCACAACTAGTACTGGTACTCGCACTATTATTATTATTATTATTATTGTTATTATTTCTGACACTTGTATCATTATCGTTGTCGAGATAAAATGTTGACATTGCCGCACTGGAACGTTGAAAATGTTTTTTGAAGTTAAACACTTGACTGGATTTGGTATTAAAGTCATCCGTATTTGAGTCTGTTTCCATAGAACCAGAAGTTCTTCTTCTCATGCGTCCTAAGCTTCCTTTAGTAATACTCCAGGTACGTTTCAACATCTTCATACGTTTCCCAAATGTCCCAGTGAGACTAGATTCTCTTGGCGGCGGTGGTACCGGTCTTAGTGGAGCACTCAAATTAATTCGTTCTCTCGTCGATTCATCAATTAAGTCCACAGTTAAATTTTTATTACTTTTACCGTCTGATGAATTGAATAATTGACTTCCACTATTAATTGGATCCACTTGATTAGACTCATACGGCTCAAATGAATACAGTGTCTCGTAGTTTGAATCGTCTGAGCCCGTATCTGTTGATAAATTAATTTTATCTTTAATGTTGTTATCTTTAAAATAATAAATCAAAATTAATACTAAAAAAAAATTGATAAACTTAATAATAAATTAGGCATTTATGATTGCTGTTTTTTTAATCAAAGAGACGTTATAATAATAATATTTTATTTAATAATAAGGACCTTTACATTGCAGAGTAAAAATTTTCATGTATTATTGAATAAAAATTAAGTAAAGGTTTCATAAAAATTAATTAATAAGCAGTAATGTTGCTTGTGACTGATTACTAATTTAATTAACTACTGATAAAAATGAATTTAATTATTATGATTTTTCTATTCTACTCGCAGAAGAATCTCCTTCGAAGAAACCTTCAAGAACGTAGCAGGACGTCTCCTGGATGTCCACGAGTGCTTCATCTCCATCTTCGCTCTCAACAGTTCTAAGCTGGACCAATCCTTGTGCGTTGTTTGTCCCCTTAAAATTTTTAGTTGTAGTCGTAGAAGATGAAGTACAAGTTGTCGTTGTTAGTTGATCTAGAGTGGTACATTTCAGATGGTTGACATCCTTGAGGTTCGTTGGTCCACAATCCCTCCACGTCTGTGGATTTGTATCTTCCCCACTCGCTGTTGGTCCAACGATGAGAACCGATCCCGTACCAAGGCTGACAGCCACTTAAAATCATTCCGAAGGTCAATAAAAATCTCTCTTTTAATGTGTCTCAATGTAAATATGTTACCAACGTCATACTCCATATTTAAATTAATATAAAAAAATTATTTCGCAATATTTAAAATTATTTAACAATAATTAAACACAGATTGTTTAGTAATAACCTTCTTATTAGTCACGATACTAAAAAATAATATATGACGTAGCTAGCAATAGTTACCTTGTGTATTAGGACGTCGTGACAATGTTTTCAATCCTGATCTCATCCTGATTATTTACAATCACTTGTTTTAAAATTCAAATAAATAAAATTATTTAAATTATCCGTGTCATTAATATTGTAATTACTTTCAGTGTAACTCAATTGTTATTATTTGTATGTAAAGAAGAGAATTAAATACGTGCGGGTGCCGTTGCCGGCTCGCCCGTGACTGAGAGTGAGAACATTGGATATACCAACACGCAATATGCGCTTTCACCTTGCTAGTACTTCCAGCCAGTCACTCTTGTATTCTCCATACTCTATACAACATATCCAGCTCCAAGTTTCCTCCATCTTCCTTTAATTATCTCTTCTTATCTTGTGCTGGTTATTTCTATTCAAACACAATGTGTATTAAATTAATAAATAATATTCCCACTGATTTAAATAAATTATATTAAAATAACTTTTTTTCTCTATTTACCAATTTCTTATTTAAATTTATTTCCTCTTACTTTTATAAATTCCCATTGAAATTTCTCTTCCTCAAGTTTATTAGTATTCAATTCACAATCGAATCGAACAGTAATGACCGATAAATGCACTACCAAAACGTGATCTCATCTTCAATAAATTCACTTTTTTCACTCAACAATAAATTTTTTAAACTTAACGTTGAATCGTTGTTGCGCAATCGTAAAAAAAATAATCACTCAAATAAGTTGATATTTTATAAAAATTATTCAGTCGATTAAATTAAACGATTGATTACAAAACTAATGTAAAATTGTAACAATATCTCGTTACATTTATTACTTATTTATTTAAATATTTTTTTATTATACTACTTATTCATTTAAAAACAATGATAATTACAGTAACAATATAAAAAAATATATTGTATTAATAACAATATATATTAACGGAGAAAACTTTTACTTTATAAAAGTTACCGTGTGATCACGTTAAGAACAATTATTACATGCTCATAAAACTGTTGTTGTTCTCAAAGAAAAATATGCTTCCGTAATATGAAACAAGAAAATAGTTGTAGTTTTCATAATAAATAATTAGGTATGTATATACATACTTATTCACTTAGATATACAGTTTAACGTGATGCACTCGAGCACATATTTCAGGTGGTTATATCAAACCTAAATCCTTTCTTTTTTATTCCGGCTCCCAACTGCATGTGCATATATAAGCATCTATCATACGTACTTACAGTTTAAAGTCAAAATACATATTTTACGATACATACTTACCAGAGACAGTGGACGGTCGAGACACTCGGTTGGTCGAGCGTGCTGAATTCTTTCGCGATGCTTTCGATCTTTGACGACGCACTTTCCGCGTACGTCTTTGTCCCGATTTCTTTTTATTGCTCCACGCATTTTGATTATCAGATGCATTTCTTAATCTGTAAATTAACATAAATAATTAATAATTATTGTTACATGATTATTATCATATTTTCTGCGTCATTATAGCAAAATTTTGGGAGAACTCTACACTGGAAAAAAAAATTCTTAACTAGAGTGTAAATTTTCTTAATTCGAAAAAAAATTAAGGAAGATTGAAAATTTCTTGAATAAAAAAGTTTCTTGAGCCAAGAAAATTTTTTTCTTGCTCCAAAATAACTTTCGTTTTCCTTAAAATTTTCTTGGCGTAAGAAATTTGTTTTTTGGATGTAGAGTTTCTCATCGAATTCTAATAAACATATTTTTTTATTTAATTTAAAAAAAAATAGCCAATCAATAAAATTCATTTTTATTGTATTAGTAATAAAACAATTTCATTAATTAAAAAAAAGTGAACTTACAGCGCTCGTAGATTTTTAGACAATCCGTTTATAGATGAATTTTCATCCAAATCCTCCCACTCAGATTCTTTCGACGGATCTAGTTGACCAATATTAATGGAGCCAGCATAAATACTATTAACGCGAGATTCACATAAAACAACACCTACATCATCGTAAACAGTAACCTCATCATCAGCATCCTCATCTACTGTTGAATAATTATTTCTCATATATATCAAATCGTGTTCTTCTTTATATTCTTCTTTCTCAATTTCTCTAAAATTTCTTCCATTTACGACTTGCGCTTTATTCGCTGAAACTTTATCGGCATTCTTGTCATGCTCATTACCACTACCACTGCTGCTACAACTACTACCACTATTTTCTTTCTCAATTGTAGGTACTTTAACTGGCAAAGAATCACGTACAAGCATAACATCATCATAAACTTGTTCGTCTTCATAATTCACTGATCCATTTACACATAATTCTGGTACGCCCACATCGTCGTACGTGTCATCCTGATAAAATATAATATATAACAATTAATTTTTATAAATTCTATATTTGTACGAATATAAGTAACTAAAAATTTATCTTAGATTAATTACTCAAATAAAGACAATTGTTGTGATAATAAAAATAGAAAAAGGTCAGTTTTGTTCTTTAGCTTTCCATCTATAAATAATCAATAATTTTTAATAAAGTAATAAGTGAGTAATAACTTACAAGAACATACGGTGAAGGTGATCCGACATCGTCATACTCATCATCGTCATCATCATAATTACACAGCTCAACTCTTTCAAGTTTTTCCAGTTTCTTATTATTATTATCATTACCAGAACATTTAGCAATGCGGCTCCATAAAAAACTAGCATTTGCTTGAAGTTTCGACGAATAAACTACTGATTCGTTGTTTGTTTTGACGAGATGTTCGTCAGAATTTCTCCTAGAACTCCCAGTGATGGATACCGTTGTTTGTCTTTTATTAAAAATCGTAACAGGTTCCTTAATATTTTCACCAACTAGAGTTTCCGCCGATGAACTTCTCTTACAAATAAATTCATCGTCATCACCCATTTGTATAAGACTATTCTTTCTTTTATCGTTTATCAACGTTAGAGTCGCACATTTCTCTTTGTGATTAATAATTTGCATTGAATTATCATCAACATTTTCTAACCAAGACCATCTTCTCACACCTGCTACATGAACAAAATTTGATGGTAATGACACATTACGTTTTGGCCAATTGTATTTATTATTATTATTATTATTATTATTATTATTATTATTACTATTGTTTTGTTTATTATTATCCTTGTTTGTATCTTTGTATTTACTTATGGGCAATATATTATTTATTAATTTCCTAGTACGTTTATGTTTAGGCACATAGTGTAAAACAGTTCGAGTAAAAATCCATCTTGGTTTAACAATGAACCTTTTTTTATTACTGTTGGATCCAAATTTTGACGACGGGCAGTATCTTTTAGGGCGTGTTATTGTAAATTTATGGTCTAGCTTTGTCTCAGTCTTATTTTCCCACGAATCATCACCATCCTTGTAATGTTCATCATCTTTAAAGTCAATGCCCGCTTTATTTGTATTAGTATCATCAACTGCAGACTCGACAGACTCGGTTGAGATTCTTTCTTCTACATCATTGTCCTTTGTACTTTCCAACTCCTAAAACAGACACAAAGAGTTTATGTTTATTATATAATATACAATATTAAACTCATAATTGTAATTATAATTAATAACTGACATTGAATTAAGTATACAAATAATTAACCGAGTATGTATAATTATAAAATTGTTTTGGCACACTTATTAACATGCTATTAAAACAAAATTAAGGCATTGAAAAAAAAAAAAAAAAAAACAATGATCATTTATAATAACAATATTTCGCTCAATTATATGCAATGAATAATTGTTGACATTTTAACATACACCATAGGATCCGGTCTTAAGTCTTCTGAATACTCAATGGACAAATGAAAACCTTGAATGATTGTCAAGTATAAAGTTAAATAAAATAAACAGTGAAAGTTTTATTTCCAATTATAATTTTCCATATTACGCTAACTGATTACAAATTTAACTTTTGTATTTTAAATATCAACGAACGGTATATTTTTATTTCTAATGTAAATTAAATTTATTTATTGATAAAAACTTATCAGGAAATTCTTGGAGCTATTAAAGTTTAAAAAATACACGTTTAACACATTAAAAAATTGATAACTGAATTTACCAGGCATTCGACGATTGTAATCTTTTTATTAACACTTTTAACGTTTATAGGTAGCATAAAAACATTTTGTTAAAATTATATTTAAAAATTATTTCTAAAAAGTTGCATTTTTTATTTATTTAATTTTCTAAAAGTCAATTTTTTTTTCTTAATTTCATTGATATAATTTATTTAAAAAAAAAATTCTTAAAATTATAAAAAATCTGCTAAATTAATTTATAAAATTAAAGTTAGCAGTTACTTAATAATTTTTTAATTTTATTTAACAAAAAAATTTGTCCCAAAAAATCATTTTCAAAAAATTGCATTTTTTATTTTTTAAAATTTTCACATGTCAATTTTTTTTTTGTCATAATTTATTTATAAAATTTTAAAAATTATTAAATATATGCTAAATTAATTTTCATTTCTGTAAAAGAAAATTTTTTTTTTTTAATAAAAACTAGCTGTATGTTTGATGTTTGTATTATCATAAAAAAAAAAAAAAACAAACTCCCTATCATTTTTGAAATGTTTTCTCTTATCAATTATCGTAAAAAAAATAAATTTATCAATAGATAAAAGTGACCGATCATTAGTGTCTCTAAAAAATAAATAATTTACTATTAAAATTTAAAAATACAAACCTTTGAATCCAGTTGGGAAACAATTGAAGTTGAGGAGTCATAAACAGAGAATGAAACAGAAGAATCATTGTCGTCACTTATAAAATCAGTATTATTATCAATGCAAACAATATCATTTGGCACCAACTGGAGTGGTAAGCTGGCTCTCCTCAGAGCTAAACTGTCAATTGTATTTTTGTTATTATGCTTATCATCACTGACAACGACAATATCACCATGAAGAAAACTCCGATTATGCAATACCGTTGAATTAATCGTCCTACTTCCCATTGTCTTGCACGCAATATTATTTAATAACAATTTATCATAATGATTATTATTATCTGAATTGACAACGCTAGGTGTCCGTTGAAGCTGCATAACCTCACAAAGTTCTTGCTTTTCAAATATTTAAATTCTTCACTTCAATTAAGCATTTAAACTAAAAATAATAATAACAACAGTAGTTAATAAATGACGGATAAAATTTTTACCACATATTATTCATTTGATGATAACAAAAAATGTATTTCCGTTTCAACTCATATTTTTTTTCACCATCAGCACTATCATTTATTACTCACTTATTTCTGAGTAATTAATTAAAAATAAAAAACATTTTTGATTAAGAAGTATAAATACCATTGATTAAGCACAATAAATCTGTCAATTAACCACCACCGATCAAAATAACCGGCATTTTAATTTAAACTAATATTCGCGCGCTCCATTTTAAATTTTAACTTTAATCATCACATCACATTTCTCTTCAGTCACTTTAACAACAAATTCCTGTAAAATATAATTGCCAAAGATTAATAAATAATAGTTAATTTAAATAAAATAATTAAAATTAATTATTGTAATTATAATTAATAAGTACCAGAGTTTGTTGAGCAAGTGAAAATAATTATTATATTTATATTTATACTGGGGAGAAATGCGAGCAAATAAATCGAGCGTTGCGAATCGTCTCTTGGTACCGACTGACACCAGACACGTGTGTGAACGTCGTGTTCTGTAGAAAGACCATTTTACAACTTGTAACTTGTATACGTACATAATAACAATAACATTATAAGGAATGCGCGCCAACAGAATTAAATACAACAATGGTAATATATAAAAATATAAATGGTATATATTTTTATTTGCTTAGAGTAGATAGAGCTAAGCTCACTTTTTACTGTTGTTTATTCTTCCACATATTTACAAAGATCTATTTAAGTATATGTACATATTTATATATCCTTATTCCAAACTCAAACCTAAAACAAAACGGTTTAAAAAAATAATACGTAAGTATATAAACAAAAATATTTAATGACACTGAAGTTAGCAGACGTCTAAAAATTTTTGATTTTTTTTTTTTTTAATTAAATTACAACTAAAAAGATTTTTTAAAAAATTGCACTTATAGTTTTTCAAGTTTTTAACAAGTGATATTTTTTTTTTAATTGTTTAATTGAAATTTTTTGGATAAAAAAATTTCTAAAAATTTTTGAAATATGTCAGCTAATTTCATTTTCATAATATTTAAATGTTAAATAAAAAAAAATCCTACTCAAACTTTAAACTCAAACAATTTTAAGTTACAGACATAATATATATATAAGTAACAGTCAAGCACGATTGGTCAGTGATTGTAACCTAAACTCAACTTAAACTGGCAGGCAGAAATTTTTTAAAGAGCCACAGTTCCAGGCCTAGAGCCCCTTCAAATCCTTCAATGGAGTGGAAAGATGAAAGACGTTGTCAGAGCTGGTCAGAGCAGTACCAGTACCGCAAATGCTTGATACAATGTTCGCGGGGGGATCGGCAACCTTCGGTCTATCTCGGTCACATATTTCAGGGCCGTATTTTTTAACTTGTTGCTTTTGTTTTTGTTTCACTTGCGACACTCGATAAAATCCACTGTCAACAGTCAATATAATATAGCACAGCTATTTGCTATATAATACTGATGATTGATGGTCTGTTTAATATTAATATATAATATATAAAGCCGATAGCTACTGTACTCTATTAAATTCTTTTTACTTAAACTTACAGTCACTGATAGCGTTGGAGTTGGAAATATAATAGTAGACTTATAAGCCTAGCTGTTGAGAACTAAATGGTAAAAAAAATGGTAATGGTATTGAGGATCGGTATTGGAGATATTGGAGTTATGTATACATGCGGATACTGTTTCTTAAAAAAACGTTGAAAGGAAGTTGGAAGAGACTGAGTCATCTGAAAGAATGTTTCAGTCTCAGCCTAGCAGGTGGTACCTGATTGCTGATGACCGGAGGTATGAACGGAGATTCCAATGATGTGGCTGTTCTGTACATTGGCCTCATTTAACTCCCGGATTTTTTACCGCAATTTTTTTATTACTCATGTAACGCACGTATATATACTTAATTGTCAGCAAGAATTTTTTTCTTGATTTTTTTATATTATTTTTAAATTAAATATTTTGATTAGGGCTTGACTTGTGAGTCGGGTGATTTGGAAATATTTATTTTTTTATAGGAGAGATGATGATTACGATGTTTTGTTTTGATTGAAAAATATACACTAAGAAAAAAAAAATACTTTTATTAAAAAAATTTTCTTGATACAAGAATTAATATTCTTAGCTCAAGAAATTGTTAAATTGATTGAAACAATTTTTACTTGATTTAAATAAAGCTATTCTTCTGTTTATCTATTATCCAAAGATAAATATTGATATTCTTCTCTTAAGAAGTTAATAATTAATAATAATAATAGAATATTTGATCGTCAGCGAATTTCTTGAACCAAGAAATTGTTAATTGAGTAAAAGTATTTTTTTTTCTCAGTGTAGAATAAGAAAATAACATTACTGATTACTGGTAATGACTTAATTAGACGCGCACCTTTGACTCAGTACTTGATTGATGTATTATAATTCTGATGCCTTCGATTCTGTTTAATCAGTCTGTTTTATTACTCGGATTTAGTAGGACTTTGACACTGGGTGCTCGCTAAGCGTATACCCGCAAAGTTTACTTGCTACTTGATTGCATAAAACTCAACAGTTATTATCGCGAAGTCAGCGAAGAAGAATCTGCTCTGCACTTGTCTGTCAGAAAGCATATCAAATTTTTAATATATTTTATATAAAACATTTCATTTCATTCCTTGGAATATTAAACTCACGGAAAATGTCGCTAGATCAGGTATTCCCTGTTTACGTTTTATGAAAAAATTTATATTTAAATTATGCAATTTAATCATTTATTTTCATTGCAATATGTTAACAATTTTTATCATGGTACAGCAATCTTACATAATTCGTTGCTTTTTTAAAACAAAATTTATCGGATTATTTAATATTACTTTTGTTTTCATAATAATCGAGCGTGTTTACGTTTATTATATACTTTTCTTAAACAAAGAAAAAAGTGGTTGTTTGTTTTGCTTTAATTTTTATTTTTTTTCTAAATTTATTAACAGGAATTTGAGCAAGCTGCTGAAGATATTAAATCTTTGACCAAGCGACCATCAGACGATGAGTTGTTAGAATTGTACGCACTTTTTAAGCAGGCTACGGTTGGTGACGTTAATACTGGTGAGCTAAAAATCATGCGATTTATAAATTATGTATGAAATTAACTATCTGTTAAACTCGTTTTATATTTTTAAATGAATATTTCTAATAAAAAATATATAGTAAAGTTGATTTTTATATAAATTTATGTATATGTTAATTAAATATTAATAAACTAGCAATCTTGCAGTCACTATGTGAATAAATAAAATTTTGCTTTATTAAATAATAACTTTTGTTAAATTGCACTGTACTTTTCCAAGTATTGACGATTTTAACGATATAATCTCATCCTGATGTTACACTCATCAAGACCTTTCATTTAAATACCCACATCATTTTTTCATATATTTATATATATTATAAGTATGTAGATATGAAAAATATATCAAAATGCATGTGGGTACTCAAATGAAAGGTCTCGATGAGTGTAACATCAAAATGAGTTTATATCTTTAAAAATGTTAATAATTAAGAAATGACCTTGTGTCTCGTGAACTATTGACATTTTTTAAGATATAAGCTCGTCCCGATATTACACTCATCAAGAGCTTTCATTTGAGTACCCACATGCATTTTTATATATTTTTCATATATAATACATATAAATATATGAAAAATTGATATGGGTACTTAAATGAAAGATCTTGATGAGTGTAACATTAGGATGAGCTTATATCTTAAAAAATGTCAATAGTTTACGAGATACAAGGTCATTTCTTAATTATGTATCTATAGAGATAGAGCATTTTCGAATGCAGCCTAAATAGTTATCATCATAAATTGACTATTGATGAGAATAATATGAAACCTTTAAAAGACACAACTCCAGGTCAAAACTTTTCTAATGATACCAAATTCAACCATAAAAACTCATTTTATTATATAAATACACCGGCCACAAAATTTTCCTTGTTCTGTTAATAATATAGATTAATAAATAATAATTAATAACTTGTCCAGGTCGTCCAGGAATGCTCGACTTGAAAGGCAAAGCTAAATGGGATCGATGGAATAGTAAAAAAGGAATTTCAAAGGAAGAAGCTAAAAAATCATACATCGCTTATGCAATGGGATTGCTCGCAACATATAAATAAATTATTTTACTTTTACTTTACATCTTGATGTATACGTCATACTTATTATTTTATTTCATTTAAATTCTTTTAGCAAAATCTGAGTAATTTTCTCATCCATTATAATTTATAATGAAACTTAACTTTTTTGTAAAATTATTAAAAAATTATCTGATGTTATAAATAAAAAATTGTTTAAATATTAAAAATTTACTCAGACTTTTATAATTAAATATATTCATGACTCAATTTGTTTAATTTGCGAAATTTTATACCAAAAATTTGAATAATTTAAACTTAAATATTTGCCAAAGAAGAAAAAAAACGTAAGTGAATTTCAAATATTTTTTTAATAGCAGATTGTTTGATTTTCACGATAAAAAATTGCAGTAAACTCTGAACGCAGATGTTAAGCAAATAGTTTTTTTAAATTATTTCAATATTTTTTTAATGAATTTTAAGCTCCGTTTATCAGCAATAGTATATTATCAGTACACTAATATCAGCGATTTTTATCTATATACTTTTAATAAATCTAGAAGTATCCTCGATAATATCTATTAATAACTATAAATTAAATCAACCATTCATGCAATTATTAATTACAGAAAAAACTTCTCACGATTATTAAGCATGCATTTAGTATATTATTCCTGAATAATTAAATACGAGCATTTAAATTATAAATTATTGATAAAAAAATCTATTTCAATGATAATTCACGAGAAGAAAAAATGAATTACTTTAATAGATATGAGTTCAATTATTTTCAACGTCAATCAAACTGAAAGGTAATTTTTTTCTTAGCTTCTGAGATATGAAATGATAATAATTGTTTTAATTAGAGTAATATGACTGCAAAATGAACTAAACTGAAGATATTTATTTATTTTTTCTCTTGGTAGCTACTTTTACCTACATTTATATATAGACTTGTCATTTTGTTATTATATGAAAATTAATTTCGTAGATATTTAATAATTTTAAGAATTTTGGTGACAAATAAATTATTGCAAAAAAAATTAGGAAGAAAAATTGAGATGTAGAAATTTAAAAAAAATTAAAAATGCAATTTTCTGATGACATTAAAGTTAGCAGTTTTGATAATTTTTTTTAACAAAACAAACTTGTTTTGAAAAATTATTTTTAAAAAATTGCATTTTTTATGTTTTAAAATTTTTACATGCCAATTTTTTTCTCTAATTTTTGTTTGTCATATTTTTATTATTAAAATTATTAAATATCTGCTAAATTAATTTTCATAATTTTTTGAAAATATTTTTTTCGAACAAATTTGTTTGTTAAAAAAAAATTCGAAAAAATGGTCGAGTGACTGCTGACTTTAATATCATTATTATTATTATTATATATACATTATCTAAATAACAAAATAAATTTATCTTCAGTACACCCATAATTTACAAGCACACAAGATAAACATGAAAACAATACCTCTTCTTCGATCTTGACCCAAACTCACATAGTTTTTTTTTTTTTTTTTTTTCAAATAATTACTTGCAAAGAAATTCTTTTACGTCAATACAAACTATAATTATTTTCTTAATTATATTTTGCGGATAAATATTTTTTTTCATCAATGTTATTAATTTTTAATAAATAATTTTTAATTCATAGATTACTTTATTTTGAATCGTCGATAATAATGAGTGCAACTCTCTTTTCTTACAATTAGTGTTGCATTTTGCCACGAATCGAACAGCGCAAAATATTATTATTGTTTTTATCCAAAACCCATTTATATACATACATGTGTTTATTTTTATGTCATTCAATTTAAAAATACTTTCTGTACAAATAATTATTCACATAAATATCTAATCGAATATGCATAAAACATGACGCATAATCGTTGCTTGTAAATTTTGTATCAAACAAAGAGAGTTGTCAGAAATAATAGATAAGAGCTATTTAATTACTTTTTTAATTGCTAGACGTTACAACACAAGATAAAAAATTTTACAGTTGTTACCAAAAATTAACACCGAGAATAGTTTCAAATTATCTGAAGAAGAAAATTACTGTGTATATAAAATATAATGGAGTAAAAAAATTAACCAGGTCAAAAGCCATCATTTATTGAAATCAAGATAGCCTTTAGTCTGGGATTTTATAACATCTTTTCATGTGTGTGATAATTTTTCATGTCATTTTATAAATATTTATCAAGTTTTGTAATAATTATCATTTCAGTAAAAAGTATTTCAATCCGTTAGAAAAGTTCCTTGTAAACAGTAGGTTATACATTACGTACCTATGCTCTATACCCTCTGTATACATTAGTAAACAATAACCATGACAGGTAAGAATTTTATTCAGATTTTTTTTTAATTTTATGATAAATAAATTTATTTACTTATTTTTAGATACAGAAGCAATGAACTTGTGCCTTCCAAAACCAAAATCACCAACTTTTATTCCAAAGCAAGAACTTGTTGACGAGGTAAATAATATCATTAAAATTATTTTTAAAAAATTGCATTTTTTATTTTTTTAAATTTCTAAATTTCCATTTTTTTTGCCATAATTTATTTGTTTCAAAAATTCTAAAAATAATCAAATAACTGCTCCTTAAATTAATTTTCATTTAATGATACTGAAATTAGCAGACATGAGATTTTTTGATTTTTTGAATCTATAAAAATTATGAGAAAAAAAATATTTTTAAAAAATTGCACTTAGAATTTTTTTAATTTTTTTCGATAAAAAAATTATAAAAATTTTCAGATGTCGGCTAATTTAATTTTCATAATTAGCAGACACTTGATAATTTTTGGAGTTTTTCTGAATAATCAACTAGGTCTAGAAAATTATTTTTAAAAAATTGCACTTATAATTTTTTAGAGCCTCTAAAGATGGAATTTTTTAAATTAATTTTTCTTGCTGTAATTTATTAGTTAAAAAATTTTAATTTTAATTTATTTTTAAATGTTATTCTATTAACATTACTTAAATTTAAAATTTTAAAAAACTGTACTTCTGCGTAAGTGCTATTTTTCTAGTTATCTACGATAATAAATAAACAGATTAACTGACATTAAATTAAATCACAAGAGATGTTGATCTCAACAATTTAAAGGTTACGGTCAATGCAATATTCTAATCATCAATTCGCTATATAATATAGAACAACTGCATTCAATAAAATGAAGAAAACAAATCTGTTTTTAAATTTATCTTTAGAAAGAAGACGATGGTCCAGAAATAAGTAAATGGACCCCTTTGCTGATGCTAGGAGGAGCAGTTGCTTGTCTTGGATCAGCAGTTCCAGCAGGATTTAATATAGGAGTCGTTAATAATCCCGCGCCTGTAAGTATTTGAAATTTTTTTTCATGATTAGTCTAATTAAATAAAAATAACTTGAAATTTTTCATTTCTTTAGATTATAAAAGAATTTTGCAATGAAAGTATTGAAAAACGATTTGACATAAATCTGAACGATGGATGGCTAAGATTTACGTGGTCAGTAGTAGTGTCAATATTTTTAATAGGTGGTGTCATTGGGTCACTTATTGCGAGTGTAATTGCTGATAAGTACGGAAGACGATATGCTCTCGCAGTGGGAAATATTTTTGGTATTCTTGGTGCTGGGTGTTTTTTGCTCACACCTACACTCAATTCCGTTGAAGTTATTGTACTTGGAAGACTTCTTGTTGGTAAGCTTAATAAAAATATTCAATTATAAATGATATAAAAAAGGCAATTCGGCAATCGAAATGGAAGTAGATTTCATAATGAATAAAAAAAAAACTACTAGGGTTGAATAAAAAAAAAAAAAAAAAAAAAAAAAAAAAAAAAAAAACCAGTGCAACAGCAAATTTCATGATTGGCATAGCGGAATAGGACATAATTTTGAGACTATACATATGACATGGTACTCAAATTGAAGCTTATTTAAAAGTTATTCGAGTAAGAAAATGAAGAAATTTGAATTTTTATGATTTTAAAAATTATTAAATCCTGGCATTTCTAAATTACTTGACCGATTAAGCTCATCTTCGAACTTGACTTCAGTATTTATCTGCAGAAGAAGAATGTTGAATTTGGTAGAGATCCGTTACTAATTGTAGACACTATTGTCCTGACAAGTCACATTATATCCCATGTAGATAAATACATACATGTCGACGGTCTAATTAGCAATTGATCTAACTCCTTATTTCTTGGAGGATGAATTTTTAACATTTTGATGTAGAAATAGTCTAATTATAAATTATTTGAATGATTCAAATTAAAATATTATATACATACCTCTATTAAATATTAAATTGTTTTTTAAAGTGATATTAAATTTTGAACTAATTTTTTTTTCGTACTAATAGAAGTACAAGAATTTTTTCTAAAATGGAGTTGAAAAATTTTCTAATTAGAACGTCAATATATAAACTTTTGAACCGTATGTATTTTCTGAATCAGTTTAATGAACTGACTCGAAATATATCAAAATTTTTCAAAATTTCCGTCATGAGGACCAACGCAATAGTTAGATTTCTATGAAATCTACTAAAAACAAATAAAATCAATGAATTTTCACTTATAGGATTTTCTGGAGGCATGGCCACGACATTAGTACCAATCTATATGATCGAAATAGCATCATTGTCTCAGCGAGGAGCCGTTGGTGTATTATGTCAATTAGGAATAACCGTAGGAGTATTTTTAGGACAAGTTGTTGGCTTAGACAGCGTCCTCGGTACCAAAGAATCTTGGCATATAATGCTTGCTTCTTTTGCACCACTTTGTATCATATCTTTGTTGTCTCTGTATATTTTACCGGAGAGTCCAAAGTACTTATATATCATAAAACAAGAAAAAGAAAAAGCAACTCGTGGTCAGTAATTTATTTAAAAAATTTATTCGCTCAATTAAATACAATCCTCGAACAAGCTATAATTTTTTAGTCTTTCAGAACTCGCGCGATTTCGCAGTGTCGACGCTAGTCTCCTGTACAAGGAGATACAGACGCTTGAAAAAGAAGCTGCATTGCGTACAACTTTAGATGCCTGGTCTTTTAGCCGTATTATCAGAGATCCGTCTGTTAGACTGCCATTACTTTTAGTAGCATCAGTACAACTTGGACAACAATTGAGCGGTATCAATGCTATTTTTTATTACTCGCAAGACATATTCAAGGCTGCTAAAGTGAGTGATACTGCCAGCCAGTTAGCAGTCCTTGGGACAGGGATTATTAATATTTTTATGGCTGTGATATCTGTTCGTCTCATGTCTTCTTTTGGCAGAAGAACATTATTTTTAATAAGTTCTTATGCTAGCGCAGTATGCCTTATTGTTTTGTTTATTGGATTAGCTATTATTGTAAGTATTAACGGAGAGTATATGACACTGAAATTAATCGTCATATTTTAATATTTTTTTATTTTTATAATAACTAAATCATTATGAAAAAATTTTAATAAAAAATTATAATTAAGTCTTAGTCAATTAAAAAATAAATGGTTATTATTTACTAGTGGGCCATAACTAGATGAAAAATTGATATTTTTTAATTTTTTTTTATTCTGCTTGTTTTTATAGCGCATTTATAGTAAAAAATTTCGATAGCTTTTTTGCCTTTAAAAGTTGAAAAAAAAAAATTCATGTTTTTAGATAAAATTTCTATTTTATATTTTTTGATGTATATATTTTTTTTTTGTTTTTTAAATACATAAAAAACAAACAATTAAAAAAAAAATTGATCAATTTTATAATAATAAAAAAAAAAAAAAAATTAACATTTTTAATGATAAAAAATAGATATCTTTTTGCCTTTAAAAGTTGGACAAAAAATTGGCTTTCATGTTTTTGGATAAAATTTCTATTTTATATTTTTTGATATTTTTGATACATATGTATTTTTTTTATAATATAAAAAAATGATCAATTAAAAAAAAAAATTTAACATAGCCCAGCATGGATTGACCCCACTTGTAAATAATTACCAAAAATTCTACATAAAAAATTCTAATCAAATGTTAGTCAGTTAAAAAATAAATTAATAGATTATATTACTTACAGGATAAAGCTGCTTTTATACCCTGGGTATGTATAATATCCGTCCAAATTTACGTACTTACATACGGAATCGGAATGGGACCGATTCCTTACTTTATTGGCTCGGAATTATTCGACGTATCACCTCGTCCAACTGCAATGGCTGTCGGCAGTATTTGTAATTGGGGTGGTAATTTTATTGTTGGATTATTATTTCCAACTATCGCAACAGCCTTAGGATCACCAACTTATTTAATATTTGTCTTTTGTATAATTGCCGTCGCTCTTTTTGTCAAGTATGTAATTGCACATTTTATTTTAAAAACTTATAATTTTTATTTACACTAATATTAATTAAATTTTATTACAGATTTTATTTACCCGAAACTCGCGGAGTAAGTACACTAGATATCAAGGCACAGTTGAGTAGAGGACTCCGTCGACAGTCAACATTAAATTCTTAGCCAAAAATGAATTTTTATTCATAATTATTAATCATGACAAATTTTTATAAAAGCTTTTATTACCGTATTTTTTTACTTCACTACAAGACAATAAATACGTTCTAATTGTTCGTAAAAACAGAAGCACAAAACGGTATGAGGACCTATCCTCATCCAGGTGGAAAAGACTCCTTTGTACAAGCCAAAGAAGCCTTCTATTTTAAATATTTTGTAATATGCATCGAAATAGCTGCGATACAAGAGGCCTTTTCCGCTGGAATCTGTGCCTAAATAAAAATATCATGTTTTATATAATAAATAAAAAACTACTAGTTGGTTACGGGAAAATAAAAATTTTTCACATTACCTTGGTTGTATAGTCGTATCGATATAACGTCGAAGGGTTGCATAAAAATTGCGACACAAGTTCCACTAACAAGAGCTGAGCAAAATGTCAGTAATACTGGATTTTCACTGAAAGTCTTCCATTATAAATTACTCATTAAAATGAATATTAATGTTTTATTTATTTTTAAAAATAACTAATGATTGAAGTTACTTTAATAGGCTTTAACCAGTCGCCAACAATACTTAGAGTCGTTAACTGAATTGCAGCACTGTTAAATATCCTGGGAGTGTTGACAAAACACTGCCTGTACAATCCAGAAATTCCAGCTTTCTGCCAATGACTTTTATAAGCTGCCCATTCACTTGTATGCTGATGTTGATAGCCCGCTGTAATTGATTTTTCAGCAGATTGTGACTGCATTTGTGTTTTTACCTAAAAACCGCAAAAAAAATTTTTTTTAAATCTTCTATATTATTAAGAAAATAAGCAAAATTTTATGGCCAGTGTATTTATATGATAAAATTAGGTTTTATAGTTAAATTTGGTATCTCTAGATACATAATTAAAAAATGACCTTGTATCTCGTGAACTATTGACATTTTAAGGATTATAAGCTCATCCCGATGTTACACTCATCAAGACCTTTCATTTAAGTACCCACATCATATATTTATATATTATATATATATATATATATATATATATATATATATATATATATATATATA